ACAAAGTATATGTGAACTGCTGTATGGAAAGTGAATTTGCTCTGTAAATCTTCACCCAAATCACAATTAAAAAAAAAAAAAATCTCCTGCTATGACTGTGGAGTCATCTATTTGTCTTTTGAGTTCTGTTAGAGTCTGGTTTATGTATTTTGGGGTTCTTTCATTGGTTGCATAGATATTTATTATTATGTCCTTTTGCTCAATCAATCCTTTAATCATCATATAATGTCCTTCCTTGTCTTGTATGGTGGTTTTTGTCTTAAAGTCAATTTTATCAGAAATTAGTACTGCCACTCCTGCTCTTTTATTGTTGCCATTTGCTTAATACATCTTTTTCCAACCTTTGATTTTTAGTCTATTTTTTGTCTGTCTCTCTAAGGTGTATCTCTTGTAGACAGCATATTGATGGGTTATGTTTTCTTATCCAGTCTGCAACTCTCTGTCTCTTGAGTGGTACATTTAATCCATTGACATTCAGTATAATTAGCGACAAGTATGAATTTGTTGCTGTCATTTTGTTATGTGCTTTTTTGCGGTGTTGCTGATTTCTTTGTTCCATATAATTTTCTGTACTGAGCTCATTTTGTTTATGAATCATAGAAATACCATATGATACAGCAATCTCACTACTAAGAATATATCTTAGTATATATTCAGTATATACTAAGTTATTTAGTATCTATATCCTAGAGAAATAAGAGCCATGACAAACAAGTACATGCGCACTCATGTTCATTGCAGCACTATTCACAATTGTAAAAAGATGGACACAACCTAAATGCCCATCAATGAATGAATGGCTCAACAAATTATGGTATGTACACACAATGGAATACAATGCAATGTTAAAGAACACGATGAATCCGTGAAACATGCCATAACATGGATGAAATTAAAGTATTTTTTGCTGAGTGAAATTAGTCAATCACAAAAGGACAAATATTATGAGACCACTATATTAAAAAGTCAAGAAAAGGCTTTCACATAAAAAGAAATATTCCTTGATGGTTGCAAGCAGTGGGAAGGACAGAGAGAGGGTAACCCACTAACTAGAGGGTAGACACATATTAACTTGGATGAAGGGGAAGGCAAAAAACAAAAACTTACCAATTAAAAATAAATACATAAAAAGTGGAAGAAGAAAAGAAAATGTCTATGGATGTTTCCATGCTGTGCCTTTGGTAAACTTCCATTCTTTTTGTTTTCAAAGCCCTAGCTTCATTTGTAGGAGAATGAATAGTAACACCTGTGACTGTATTTACCTACCAGAGAGTAGATCACCTTTTCCTCACTTTTGGGAGCTGGAATGTGGAGCTGGGTCAGCCCTGCAAATAGCAGAAGCCAAAGCCTGGAGTAGAGAGACCCAAGTTCTGAGCCAGGAGGTGTGTAGGGGAGCCAGACTTCTCCAGGGAACCATCAGGCTGAGGCCTCAGGAGTGATCAAAACTGGGCTGGAGGCAGGCTCTGAAGGGGGACAGGTGTCCAGAGCCATGAGCAGGGCAGAAGGAAGGGGACAGATAGAGGGTCTTATTCTCATTTTACTTCTAATTAGCTAGCTGAATGGCCTTGGACAAATCATTTCACCTCTCTGAATCTGTATCCTCATCTGAAAATGAGGAAATTCACTTGGATAAGCTGTCAATGCTAAGGTTCTCTGACTCTGAGCATTCATTCAGCAGATATTCCTTTTCTCTTTCTTTTTTTACTTGTTATTGTGATTTGTGTGAAAGTTTGCAGAGCGAGTTGGTTTTCCGTTCAACAATTCATATGTGTTTTGTTCTGTGACACTGATTGCAGTCCCCACAATGTAACAGCACCCTTCTTCCCACTTCCTCCCTGTTTTTACTGTTTCCATTTGTCTTTCTTTCCTATCCTTTCCTGCCTTATGAGCTTTATATCTGGGCAGATGTTGCCCTTTTTATCTTTTATAGTTGATGTTCTAGGAGGTGTGTACCTTCCTGGTGTTATTGTTCACTTTATAGACCTATCAAGGCTGGCAGTTCAAACCCACCTGCCACTCCTTGGAAGGAAGGTTGGGCAAGATACTTCCGTAGTGATACCGCCTCGGAAACCCAAGGAGGGGTCGCTATGAGTTGGGTCTGACTTGACGGGACATAACAACAACAACAACAACAACAATTGTTTGACTAAAAGCTGAGCCACAGGAGTAAGTTCAGTTCCAGACTTGAAGGGTGACTAAGGGCCATGGACTCAGAGGTTTCACTAGTCTGTATCAGACCAGTAGGCCTAGTCTTTTTTTATGACTTTGAGTTTTGTTCTACATTTTTCTCTCACTCTATCCAGGACCTTCTAATGTGATCCCTTTCAGAGCAGTTGGCCGTGATGCCAAGCACCATCTACTTCTTCTGGTCTCAGGTTCCTGAAAGCTGAGGTTCATGTTGTCCACTAGTCCTTTGGACTAAGTGTTTCCATGTGTCTTTGATTTTCTTCATTCTTTTTTCCTTGGGACTGGGAGAGACCAATATTTGCACCGTCGTTGGCCGCTCAAAAGCTTTTAAGACCCCAGTCACTACTCAACAAAGTAGGATGTAGAACATTGTCTTTGTGGATTGTGTTATAGCAGATATTTCTCAAGCATCTACTGTACTTCAAGCATGGCATGAGGTACTGGTGTGGGCCAGTAAACTGACATCATTCCTGCCCTCATGGGGTTTATGATCTAGCTGGGGGACAGACAACAAACAGGTAAACTTGCAAATATTTAGAAAGCTGCAAATTGCAATTCGAATGGAATAGAAAGAGGGTTGGATGTGAGCTTCCTTAAATGGCATAGTCACAGAAGGCTGCTCATAGGAGGTGATATTTAAGCTAATACCTGACTGACAAACAAGCTGTGGAATGATCTGGCAGCAGAGTATTTCAGACAGAGGAACAGCAATTTCAAAGCTTGAAGCAGAAAGAATCCTGGCATGCTCGTCCTTGAGGATTGGTTGAACAAGGTACAGGATGACCGCAGCTGTGCATTGGAGGCTGTGTTTTCCTCCCTGCCTGAGTCTTGATTAATAACTGAGAGACTGAAGAGAGAGCACTGGATTAGGAGTCTAGCAACAAGGGGTCTAAGCCAACTCCACTCCATCTCTGGGTGCTTCTTAAAAGGGACTTAACTTCTCTAAAATAAGTAGGTATGCTTGTTGATCTCCACATCCCTCACAGTTTTAACAAGAGTGAATCCAAGCCAAGGAGTAGGAGTAGCCACATGAGCTGTGGAGGGGAGGGTCAGTGGCTGCTGAAGTCTGAGGTATTAAAAAAAAAAAAAAAAAGAATTGAGGCTCAGTGGAGATACACATTTGTGAATAAAGACTTGCAGAAAAGGATGGGGATGGGGGAAGACCTATAAAAGGGTAGGTATAGAAGAAGAAGAGGAGTCCCAGGGTGACGAGTGATTAGTGCACTCAACTAGTAACCAAAAAGTTGGTGTTTCAAATTTACCTCAGAGGTGCCTCAGAAGAAAGGCCTGGTGATTTACTTCAGAAACAACAGCCACTGAAAATCCTATAGAGGTGAACCCCAGCCTCATGACCCTGAGACCAGAAGAACTAGATGGTGCCCAGCTAATCCTGCTGACTGCTCTAAAAGGAATCACAATAAGAAGTCCCAGATAGAGTGGGAGAAAAATGTGACACAAAATTAAAAATTGTGTAAAAAGATCAGGCTTACTGATCTGATAGTGACTGGTGGAACTCCCAAGACTATGGACCTTAGACATCTTTCAAGCCTGGAACTGAACTTACCCCCATGGCTTCACTTTCAGCCAAACAATAGACAGACAAGACTATAAGGTGAACGGTAATACAGGGAGGTATGCACTCATTGAACAATCACTCATCAAAAGGGCAGCATTTGTCCAGGAATAAAGCTCATAAGGCAGGAAGGGATAGGAAAGAAAGACAAAGGGAAATGGTAAACACATGGAAGAAAAGGGAAGAGTGTTGTTAGACTGTGGGGATTGCAGTGAATGGCACAAAACACAATGTGTATGAATTGTTGAACGGAAAACCAATTTACTCTGTAAACTTTCACCCAAATAACAATTAAAAAGATAGAAAGAAAGAAAACCATTGGAGCACAGTTTTACTCTGACACACATGGGGTCTCTGTGAGTAGGAAGTGACTCTGTGGTGCTGGGAGGAGAGGAGGGCTAGCAATGTAATTTTGTCATAGGTCCCAAGGAAGAGAAAATGGGCTTACACAGCAAAAAAAAAAAAGAAAAGGGGTGAGATTAGACATTGGGGAAAACTTGTTTTGGGTTTAATTGTGTCCCCCCCAAAATACAAGGTGAGGTCCTAACCCCCAGGACCTGTGAATGTGATCTTATTTGGAAAGAGGGTTTTTCCAGGTGTCATTAGTCGGCATGAGGTCATACTGGAGTGGGAAGTGCCCTAATCCAGTATCACTAGTGTCCTTATAAAAAGAGAAGAGACACAGAGACACAGAGGGAAGAAAGCCATGTGACAATGGAGGTAGAGGTTGGAGTTACGCTGCCATAAACCAAGGAAGCTGACCAGGGAGCTAACAGAAGCTGGAATATACAAGGAAGGATCTTCCCCTAGAATCTTTGCAGAGACCATGACCCTGCCAAGACCCTGAATTTGGACTTCTAGCCTCCAGAACAGTGAGACAATACATTTCTACTGTTATAAACCACCCAGTTGGTGATACTCTGTTGCAGCAGCCGCAGGAAACTGAGACACATGTAAAATGTTAATCTCTGGAGGGTGTTTGTGTAAGTAAGGTTCTTGGAGTAGAGCCTAAGCATGGGGAGATAGGACAGTGGGTGAAATGCCTTAGGGGCTCTTCTAATTGCAGAAGTCAGAGAATTGAGATACCATGTAGTGAAAGAAGCCCTGGCCTTCTCATCTACCTTTCTGAGTAGCCCAGACAGGTTCACCTTCTGTTTGGGGTCTCATTTTTCCCATCTAGAAAACCTGATTGAACTGGATGGTCTTTGAGATCTAACTTTCTGTGACTTCTTTTCTGTAGGGCCTTCACCAGATCTCCCTTCCTGATACTCAACTTGACAAGCGACCCCTGATCCTGGTGAGTCTGGGAACTGAGATGATACGGGTGAGAAAAGAAAAATTTGAAGACTTGATTGACGACAAGACAAGAGAAAAGTTGTCCAAATACCATATTGAATACCCCAGGTTAGTACTGAAAATATGCACAAATTCCATCAGAGTAAAAGAAATTTTTTTTTTTCCTATTATTTAGTGAAAATAACAAAAAATGATAATACCTACTGCTGGTGAGGGTGAAATGAATCTGGTAGTTGTTGGTACACTATAAATTGGCTAAACAACTTTTTTTTTTTTTTTTTTGCTAAAACCTCTTGATAATAATTTTAGTATTACGTTTCAAGCGCCATCAAACTGTCCCTACCCTTTGAGGCAATGATCCACTTTCTTTGAATTTATATTGGCAAAATATGGGGAAATCTATATGCATTAAGATGTTTGTAGCAGCCATATTCATTATAGAGAGAAAACTGATCAAACAGCCCACACATGTCACACTAAGGGAATAATGTAGAAAATTATGGTCCATTCTCTTAATAGACTTTCATTGAAAATCATGTTTAAAGGCTCTATAGCCACAGCGTAAAAAGGGTCATACAATGATACACAAAAAGGGCAAGGTACATAATTGTATAAATATTATGATCACACCTTTGTAAAATTCTACATGAGAAAAACAGAAAGAACTGAGCAAAAATGATAATACCTGTGGTACTACCAAACTTGTAATAGTCATTCTCTCTGGAAGGTGGCATGGAAGAAGACTTTCTTGTCATATGTTTTATAGTCCTCTCTTGTTTAATTGCTTTTGCAATGAGTGTGTATTGCTTTAGTAAAGAAGAAAAAAAAAGATACAATCTTTAAGAGTTGTGTCAATAGTGACATTCTGAGTTTTTTTAATCTTTTATCCTCCAAATGTTTAGTAATGATGACTTACATAATTTTAAAAGATAAATACCTTTCTTGAAAGATTCAAGTGTTTTTCTTCCTTTACTTTTTCATGGTTTCCAAAATGTCCAGTGTGTTACCGCTTTTATAATGAAACTTTTTTGTTTTTTAACTTTTTATTGTGATTTGGGTGAAAGTTTACAGAGCAAATCAGTTTTCCATTCAACAATTCACATACGTTTTGTTTCATGTCATTAACTGTAATCCCTTCAATGTTACATCACTTCCCCCACATCCTGCCTGTGTTTCTCATTTCCATTCCTCCTCCTCTCCTAACCCTTCCTGACTTTGGAACTTGGGCCTTGAGGAAATGCTGCCTTTTTGATCTTGATGGTTGATTGTTCTAAGGAGTGTGCACCTTTGTAGAGCTGTTCACCTTAAAGACCTGTCTTTTGTTTGAGAATTCACCTATGGGAGTGAGTTTAGTTCCAGGTCCAAAGGGTGACCAACAGCCATAGTCTTGGTGGTTCCACCAATCTCTGTCTGACCAGTAAGCCTGGTCTTTTTTGTAAGTTTAAGTTTTATTCCACATTTTTCTCCCATTCTGTCCAGGACTTCGTAATGTGATCTCTTTCAGAGCAGTTGGTAGTAGTAGCTGGGCACCATCTAGTTCTTCTAGCCTCAGGGTCCTAAAGGCTGAGGATCATGTGATCCATTAGTTCTTTGGACTAATTGTTTCCATGTGTCTTTGATTTTCTCCATTCTTCCATGCTCTAGACAGGGAGAAACCAATAGTTGCACCTTATATGGCCACTCAGAAGCTTTGGAGACTCCAGTTGCTACTCACCAAAGCAGGCTGTCGAACATTGTCTTTGTGCACTATGTTGTGCCAATTGACCTCCATTTCCCCCAAGACTATGGTCCTGAGTTCCAAGGTGCAGTGACTCACTCCTTCAGGGTTTTTGGTTATGGCTAATAAGTTTTTATAACTTTGCTCCCTGTATGCTTTACTATATTCATAGATACATTTTAAGCATCTGTAAATACATAAAGGAGCTCTGGTGGTGTAGTGCCTAAGGCATTTGACTGCTAACCAGAAGGTTGGCGATTCAAACCCACCAGCCACTCTGAGGAAGGAAGACTGGGCAAGCTACTTCCGTAAAGATTTACTGCCTCAGAAACCCAATGGGAGTTGCTATGAGTCAGAACTGATTCGATGGTAGTGAGTTTGTTTGTTTTGTTTATAAATACATATGTAGAAATATCCTGTGCCAAACCTATACATATTCATGGATATTCTCTTTTCCACACCTGTTCAGCCTGTGTGCCTATCCATGTATCCACTCATAGATTATCATTATTGTTGTTACTGTTATTGCAGGATTGTGTATGAATTAGTGAGTCGGGTCCGACTCGACGGCACATAACAACAATAACAACAACTGTTGCCTTTAACTCTTGTACTCCTCCCAACATTTTCCTTTCCTTGATCATTTTGTGTTGACCTCCTCCTTCTTGTATATTGCCTACCTCTTCACCCAAGTTAAAATGTGTCTGTCCTCTAGTTAGTGGTTTACCCTCCCTTCCCCTTCCACTCCTGATAACCACCAAAGAATATTTCTTTCTGTGTGAAACCCTTTCCTTGACTTTTTATAGTTGTGATTTCATATAGTATTTGTCCTTTTGTGATTGACTGATTTCACCCAGGCAGCTCTGGTAGCATAGTGCCAAAGGCACCTGACTGCTAACCAGAAGGCTGGTGATTCAAACCTACCAGCCACTCCTCAGAAGGAAAGTTAGGCAATCTACTTCCATAGTGATACTGCCTCAGAAACCCAAGGAGGGGTCGCTGTGAGTCGAGTCCAACTCAATGGCACATAACAACAACAATAACAATTTCACCCAGCATAATGTCCTCTGAGTTCATCCATGTTATGATTAACCATTGTTCTTTAATGTTGTGTAGTATTCCATTGTGTATATTGATCCATTCATCCATTGATAGGCATTTAGGTTGTGTCCATATTTTTGCTATTATGAATAGTGCTGTATGAATATAGGTGTGCATATATATATTTGTATCACAGTTCTTATTTCTCTAGTATATATACCTAGCAGTAGGATTGCTGGGTCATATGGTATTTCTATTTCCAGCTTTTTAAGGAAGTGCCATACCATTTTTCACAGTGGTTGCCCAATTTTACATCCCACCAGCTATATATGAGGGTTCCAGTCTTTCTATACTTTCATCAGCATTTATTGTTTTCTGTTTTGTTGAACTTTGCTATTAGTGCTGGAGTGAGATGATATCTCATTGTTATTTTGATTTGCACCTAAGGCATTTGACTGCTAACCAGAAGGCTGGCGGTTCAAACTCACCAGCCACTCCTCGGAAGGAAGATGGGGCAATCTATTTCCGTAGTGATACTGCCTCAGAAATCCAAGGAGTGGTCGCTATGAGTTGGATCCAACTTGATCCGACTTGGCACTGAGTTTAGTTTTTTGGTTTAATGGCTAATGATCATGAGCATTTTTTCATGTGTTTGTTGGCTGCCTGAATGTCTTTGGTGATAAGTCTCTTTATGTCCTCTGCCTATTTTTCAATTAGTAACTTTATTTTTTTATGTAAAAATTAATTTAGTGCACAAACCAGTGATCTCAAAACTGTTTAATCTTATACTATTACTAATAAGTCTTTGAGTATTTATCCCTTTTGTATGTATGTATATAAACATATGTTGTTGTTGTTGTTGTTATGTGCCAAACATATATATATTTAAAAAACTCAAAAAAACCCACTGCCATTGAGTTGATTCCAGCTCTTAATGACCCTTTAAGACAGAACTGCCCCATAAGGTTTCCAAAGCTGTATATCTTTACAGAAGCAGACTGCCTCATCTTTCTCCTGTGACGCAGCTGGTGAGTTTGAACCACTGACCTTTTGGTTAGCAGCTGAATGCTTTAACCACAATGACACCAGAGCTCCTTATAAAACATACAAAAATAGATTATTTTTAAAAAACAAAGCAAAGGTAAATATAAATGAAATCCTCCTAGTTTCTTTCCACACCCAGTGGAAATTATACAGCCTCCAAGGTGTCATGTCTCCAACCCCCTGGTTTGGGACCCACAGTCTAGACTCTTGTAACAGCCTTACCAATGGTCCCCCTGCTGCAGTCTCCTCCCTTTTAGATCCTTTCTGTGCATTGTGAATTTGCTAAAACCCAAATCTGACAATGTTAAACTCCAGCTTACAACCTTTCAGTGGTATCTCATGGTTTACAGGATAAAGTTTAAACTCATTGACACATAACAGGCCCTTCTTAATCTGGCCCCCTGCAATACCTCCTGCCACCTCTAACCCAGTCTAGTATCCCATGCACATTGCCTCCTGGACCCTGCAGTACTTTGCCTCTGTCAATACTGCCTTGAATGTCATCCCTCAACCCTGCCCCTTTTCTTCTGGTTAACTGCTAACCGTTCTTTAAGGTTCATCTCCTCTGGAAAACCCTCTCGGTCTGACCAGACTGATACAAATACCCCTTTTCTGCACACTCATAATACTCTATATAGGAGCTCTGGTAGCACAGTGCCTAAGGCATCTGACTGCTAACAAGAAGGTTGGTGGTTCAAACCCACCAGCCACTCCATGGAAGGAAGACTGGACAATCTACTTCTGTAAAGATTTACCTCCTTGGAAATCCAGTAGGGTCTTCATGAGTTGGAATCGACTCAATGGCAGTGGGTTTGGGTTTGGTTTTATAATACTCTATACAGTTCTGTCATTGACCGTTTGTCCTTGTTAGTTGCCATCAAGTTGGATTTGACTCATGGCAATCCTGTAATAGAACAACACGTTGCCCAGTCCTGCATCATCATCTTCATCATCATTGACATGTGTGGGTCCACTGTTAGGCTATTGTATCAATCCGTCTCATTTTTGTTGACTCTCTGCTTTACCAAATATGATGTCCTTTTCTAGCAACAGTCTTTCCTACTGCGCCCAAAGTAAATGAGCCAGAGTCTCACCAATCTCGCTTCTAAGGAGCATTTCTTACCCCATTGTTCTATAGTTATCTGTTTCTGTAGCTCTTTCGCCATATTTGGTAATTGTTTCATGAAGGTCAGGGATTGTGCTTTATATGCCTCTCATTTCTAGCACCCTGTATAGCATCTGTCACATGGTAGTTGCTCAATAAATGTTGAATGAATGAACAAATGATGGGGCAACTCATTGCGGAAACTGGAAAATGCCCAACAGTAAAAAAGGTGAAAGCCCAAATCATTTGCAATCCTTCAGCAATCTCAGTTAGCATTTTGTTTATTTCCTTTTAGTACTGTTTTTTCTCTGAGTATGTACCAAATATGTGTGTATCTGTTTTGATTACCTAGTGCCACTCTGACAGGAATATACCACAAATGGGATGGCTTTAACAAACAGCAGTTTATTCTCTTACAGTTTTGGAAGTTAGAAGTGCAAGTTCCAGGTGCCAGGCTCTGGGGGCTGGGTGAAAGCCCCTCGACCTTGGACTTCAGCTCTGCCTCTTGCTCCTGGCCCACTGAAGCTAGAGGCATCTCTTCACTCAGGCAGCTGCTAGCTGCTGAGGCTGACAAACCCAAGGTCAACAAGTGAAAAGGCACAGTTATAATATTACCAAACCACATGGCAGACCATTAATTCAACTTCTTTAAAAGTCCCGAGATTGGCAGGGTAACATGGCAGGCTGCTGAACAACAACCCAGCTACATGCAGGGTTCAAGAGTATCATCAGCTGGAGATCTTCCTTAAAGTTGCTTCTTATATACTGGAAGCAGTCCACATCCCTAAAGCAGCTACTCAGCTGCTCCTGTAGTTTCCACCATGGAGTTAATTACTGATCTCACCATGGGGAATAACTATGTCCAGCTGTCCAGCCACTCAACCAGGTCCAGCCAAATTGACACACAAATTTAACTACAACAGTATCATTCATGCATATATAGCTTTCATAATGGAGATCATACTGATTGCACAGTTTTGCTTCCTCCCTTTTTTCTGTTCTTATAATCAGACATGATTCTTCCAGAAGGTGTAGGAAGTGAGTTATTCCAGTGGTAGAGAAAGAGGATGTGTAAAGGCAAGCAGATCTGCAGGTTATTGTAGCGATGTCCAATAAGCACAGACAAGAATTTGACGTGAGATCTGCGTGATCTTGGACAAATCATTTCTCTTCTCTGGGCTTTAGCTCCAATATGTAAAACAAGGACATCAGACTAAATCAATGCTTCCCAAAGTATGAAACGTTTGCAAGATGATTGTAGGTAGTATGCAATTCACATTTTTAGTGTTAACAGTTATATATTTATTCTTGACTAGTTTCCTAAATTCATGACTTGCTAGATCTTGTTGTTTAGGACAAAGCTAAAATAAGTATCTATGCAATGAACAGATTTAAAGAAAAATCATTAATAGATTAAAGAATAAATGGAATGGGGATATGGCCAAGATTGGAGCAGTTTTGTGAGAAAAGTTGAAAATAACTGGAGCTTCCTTCCAGTTCAAAGATGACACACTTCTTTGATTCTCTGATTCCTGAGTACTACCAATACAGAAAAATAGCTATTTAGACCCACCTATTTACAAAAGGAATTTGGAGACTTATACCTTGCATAATAGCTGGCACATGGTGAGTATCAGTTAATATTTATTGAATTGGAATTCAGAAAATGTTGACATAGATATGAGAGTGGCAGATGTTTGGGTACTTGGCATCCATTCTGCTCAGTCAGCACTTTGCTGCAATCATATATATTGCTAACAGATGGAATTCTGTCGTATTCATTAATCGTTGAACTCATGGTTTTTCTAGACTGCTAATGTAAGCAGAAAACGTATCCATCATCTAACTCAAATCCATCATATTTTAAATGTGTACTCTGAGGTCCAGAAAAGGAGAAATTACATCCCAAAACTCACACAACAGTGGCAGACACCTGTCCTGTGAATACTATGGACTAGACAACCAAAAAACTCACCCCCTACAAAACACAGGAAATACTATATAAAACTTAATGAACAACTGAGTTCACAAGAAACTAAGGGCATTCCCCCAAGGACCAAAAATGAAGAGGATCCTAAAAATGAGAGCACAAAGTGTGATCTGATGTTCGTATTGCTCTGGGGTTGGAGGTAATGTGCATAATGGACTAAAGTTTGAAAGCTACAGGGACAGATAAAACTCAGCTCAGACGAGGCAAGGTGTTGGAAATGAAATCCCTGAAAAAAAAGCTGAGTCTCTGGAAAAGTGACTTCTGTTAGTGAAAAAGTCGACAGGAAATCAAGATGCCATCAAATCAGGAGGTGACAGGGCATCTTGCCCATCTTAACTTTGTGGGTCTAAACAAATACACCATCCCCTAAGAATCTGTAATCACATGTTTGCCCCCTCTTAAGTTTTGGTGAGTTTCTTAGGCTTTTTGAAACCCAGTTTCCATGTTTGTAAAATAGGGTGCTTTTAAAAATTAAATGAGTTGATAAGAATAAAGTGCTTAAAGCCTGAGGTAGTCTTAAGGAAGAAATGGCCCTGTGAGATTCTAGTAAAAGATTCTCAGAAATTTATTATATGAGCTAATTCATAAAGGACAATTGGGAGTTGCCTGTTCATGATTCCCAAACACAGTACCCAGACTGGTGCTGGCTACCTGCAGATGCCCTAAGGGACCATGTCTGTGTTGTTCACACTGTCTTCCCAGCTCAAGGTACATGGCAGGTGCCAGTAAATCTTTGTTTAATGAGAGAATGAATGAACCACCAGGACACTTAATAAAATTAAACTCCTGGGCCTTGTGACTAGATTTTGACCCAGGAAGCCTGAAAGGAGTCCTGGGATCTCTGTATTTATCTAGGACCCAGATGATTCTGATGCTCATCTATAATGTATATCACCTTGGACTCTTATTAAACTGCGGATTCTGATTCAGCAAGTCTGGGTGGGGCTTGCAATCCTGCACTGCTAACAAGCTCCCAGGTCTCCTGTTCACATTTTGCATAGCAAGGCCCTGCGGTGTCTTTGTCCACTAGAAATATAATGCAAGCCACATGTGTAATTTAAAAATATCTACTTTATTGAAATATAATCCACCTATTTAAAGCATACAATTCAATAGTTTTTAATATATTCACAGAGTTGTACAACTATCACCACAATCAATTCTAGAATATTTTCATCACCCCAAAAAGAAACCCTTTAGCTGCTACTCTCCTTTCTCCCTCAGTCTTCCTCCTCCAGCCCTAGACAACCATCAATCTGCTTTCTTTCTCAGTAGATTTTCCTATTCTGTACAGTTCATATAAATGGAATAATATAATATTTGATCTTTTGGGTCAGGCTTGTTAGCATAATGTTTTCAAGGTACATGCATGTTGTTGTTGTTGTTGTTATTGTTATGTGCCGTCGAGTCGGCCCCGACTCATAGCGACCCCTCCTTGGGTTTCCGAGGCAGTATCACTACGGAAGTAGGATTGCCCAACCTTCCTTCCGAGGAGTGGCTGGTGGGTTTGAACCGCCACCCGTCTGGTTAGCAGGCAAGTGTCTTAGCCACTATGCTACCATCAAACCCCCATTTCTTTTTATTGCCAAAAATATTCTGTTGTATGTATATACTGCATTTTATTTATCCATTCATCAGTTAATGGATATTTGGGTTATTTCCATTTGGGGACTGTTATAAAAATACTGCCAAGAACATTCTTAAACAAGTTGTTGTGTAAATACATGTTTTCAATACTTCAGGGTGTATACGTGGGAGTGGAATTAATGGGTCATATGTTAACTCTATGTTTAACCTTTTAAGTAATTTAGACTATTCTCTATAGAGGCTGTCCCGTGTTAACATTCCCACCAGCAATGCAATTCCGATTTTTCTACATCCTCAACAGCTCTTGTTATTTTTAAATTATAATCATAGTGGGTGTGAAGTGGTATCTCATTGTGGTTTTAATTTGCATTCACTGATGACCCAAGGAGGGGTCACTATGAGTTGGATCCAACTCGATGGCAGTGAGTTTTTTTTTTTTTTGATGACTAATGATCACATATGTAGTTTTAAATCTTCTGAAGCCACATTATAAGATGTAAAAAAAGAAAGAGGTGAAATTAATTTGAATACTATATTTAATATGTGCAAAATATTATCATCTCAACATGTAATCCATATAAAATATTGAGATAGTTGACATTCTTTTTTAGCTCTACGTCTTTGAAACCTGGTATGTATTTTACACTCACAGCACATCTCCAATCTATGTTGGCTACATTTCAGGTAGTCAGTAGCCACACGTAGCTTGTGCCTATTACATGGGATAGTGCAGGTCTAAAGGAAGATATTTCTGGAATGGTAAAGGAGGCAAAGAGATGAGTTGTGGAAAAGGCACCGAGGTGAAACAGAGCACAGGGTCTTTAGGGATTAGAAAGAGTGGCAGGAGGCCAGGTTGGAGGGGCGGGGAACTGAGAGGAATTAATGTGGGAAACTCAGCATCTGTGTCTGCCCTTCAGTGATGAAGAACTGTGCCAGTGTTTCCTCCAGGAGAACAGCTGGAACATCTTTCGGAGTGACCTAATGCAGCTGCTGGTGGAGCCTCGCCAATGTCCGCCATTCATCCCTAAACAACCCAAGAAGAGAGAGCGCAACTATCTTAAGTCTGTGACCCTGAATTTGTCTACCCTTGGCAAGAACACTAAACCTAACTACCCCATTTTTATGGCACCCCAAAAATACCTCCCCCCATTGAGGATTGTCCAGCGTATCACAGCACCCCGGCCCAAAATCCAAGAACTCCTGCCTCAGTATAAGAATGCAGGGATCCTTGTCTAGAACCAATAAAGAACATTGGATTTGCCACCATGTTTACTGAATGACCAACATGGGAGTTGTGAGGCTTGGAGTGGGGGGCCTGGAGGACTGAACTGTGGATCCAGAGAGGTGTTTGGAGACAGCAGTGGGGGGCCACTGCCTCTCTTAACACTTG